AATTAGGATAATGAGATTTAGCATGGACTATTAGAATTAGAATATCTGAGGTTTAGGAGGTAAACGTTAGTAAGAAATTCTATAGATATACAAAAAGTAGTTGAAACGAAGAACAGAAATACTAGGGATAGGACAAGTAGGGGCAGCAGTCAAGATGAATAAAAGTGTTTTTCTTAAAATATGTTTAGGGTATTCTGCACAGAATTTACTATATTAAGAGCGATTATTTCATCGTCCTACATAATTATTAACCCTTTCATTACCATTGGAATATACATGCTCCTTGGGACCATTTCTCCTTACTAGTGGATCACAATTCAGTGTTCATATGCAAGACTCATGACCACTAGCTATTATGAGCTTTCTTAGTGCTAGTAGTACCATATGTTTCAATTAATTAAAATTATACATGACTGCCCCATTTTTACAATTTTTTAGTACTCTTTGTACCAAATCTGATATCTGAGCGTCCATCTTATTCCAAAAGACACTAGTAGCACAATTATGTCTCACATTCCCTAGTACCAAATAATACAATATAAATATTGAAATCATGTACTAAGTAAAAGCTCAGCAACCAGTAAATGGAAAGTAATAAAACAATCCACAAACAATTACAATTGATAGTGAAAAGATGAAAGAATAAAATAAACTTTCATTTGGACATCATCTGTTCAAATTACTTTCACAAGACTTCATTTGGAAACACTTTTGATATAAAGTACATAGCATGACTGGTAGAAGACAATTGGAACGAAGAACAGGAATACTAAGGGATAGAATGAATAGAGGCAGAAGTGAAGATGAATAAAACTGCTTTTCTTAAGCTATGTTTGTCACAGAATTATTAATTTAATTTGTCAGGGAACACAATTCTCGAGAGTGCATCACCTTTTTAAATTAATGTCACAAGTCTTTTGACTTGGAAATACTTTTAACATAAAACGGCATGATTAATACAAAAGCAATTGGAACGAACGAGAACCCTTCCGTTTCCACGCGTTTTGATCGTAGGAGCGCGCTATAAATTATTTTTGAGTGCCACTTTACCGCTCAATCGCGAGTGGCATTCAGAATTCCCTGCGCTATCGATCCGGAGAACCCTGAGACCAAGCTCAAAAGCACTCCACTCAAGTCCTTAATTGACTTAAACGAACCGAGCGAAAATGGAAATAAAAAAAAAAAAGTCTGCAACCTTTCCCCAAAGGTTTCCCCGTTTGAGCCGATCGACTTATAAATGGCTGAGGATCTTTGGCAAAGTTAATAAAGTCCCGAAAACTTGTTCAACTGCTCTCGCTGGGAGACCATGCGTCGTCTCGCCGCTGTTTCGAGTTAGCCTCGAGATTTGCTACAAGTTTCCGCAGTTGCTAACTAGTTTCAACTTAGGAGAGTTAATACATGTACGTTATACGCGCCTACATAGAAAGATCATATATTATTCAACGTTATTTATCATTGTACAGTTTGGAACAATGATTCCAGTGCAATTAATATTAATTTCTTTATAATA